AAAAGAAAGACACGGTCCACTTTGACCCCACATCCATCGGTCTCCCTGCCGGCTGGTCGTTGACCGAATGGAGTACCCTCAAGGGCTGAGCCTGCAAGATTCCGCAAGACGAATTGCAGCAAATGTTGGCACAATTGAATCTGGGGGATGGCCAGAATTTGGGCACGGCCGATGGTCGCATTGCCTTGGATTGCAGTGTCCGCAAGACACGACAAGGTCACTACGTGATATCCACCACCGACTTTTTCTTTCCACTGGTCGATTCGCCCTATCTGCAAGGACGCATTGGAGCGGCCAATGTCTTGAGTGACTTGTATGCGGAAGGTGTCGCGTCGTGTGATTTTGTACTCATGCTATTGGCGGCGTGTCGGGACATGCCCGAAGATCAGCGGACCATTTGTACACAGGAAATGGTACGGGGTTTTCGGGATGCCTGTACCGATGCCGACACTTGTATTACCGGAGGACAGACCGTTTTGAATCCATGGCCGATTATTGGAGGAGTCGCTACATCCGTGGTGGCCGAAGGAGAGTTTGTACCGTCGGATGGAGCGCAAGTGGGAAATGTGGTCGTCTTGACCAAACCCTTGGGCACACAAATTGCCGTCAATGTGCATCAGTGGCGTCGTCATCATCATCAACAAAATCAAAATCAAAACAACAACAACAACAACAAATTCTGGAAAAAGTGCATCGACCAAAATATTGTGACGGACGATCAAGCGGAAGAAATGATGCATCAGGCGGTCTGTAGCATGGCGCGTTTGAATAAGAATGGTGGAAGCATCATGGTCAAGCACAAGGCGTGTGCGGCAACGGATGTGACTGGGTTTGGGATCTTGGGTCATGCCCAAAACCTGGTCGAAAATCAAAAGGAAAAGGTCGGAATTGAATTGCACACTCTGCCACTCATTGCCGGCACCAAGCAAGTCAATGACAAGGTCCTCAACTTTCAATTGACCACGGGGTATAGTGCGGAAACCTCGGGTGGGCTCATGATTTGCATGCCCAAGGAAACAGCACAAGCCTACATGGAAGAATTGAAAGACCTGGATGGTACTGATTCGTGGATTATTGGAAATGTCATTGCCGACGAGAAGCAACAAGCTAGGATTTTAGAGGATGTCAAATACTTGGAGGTTTAGTAGGTAGTCAGTCGTAAGGAAGGTCTTTCTCGCAGGAGCGACAGAGCATGCATGTCGGCTCGACAATCCACAACTAACTGGACCATGAGGAGGTCTGTGCGACACAATCACAAAAGCTGAATGACGGAATGTCTGGACGCTGTTGGCAATACCCTGCTAGACAGCGTTGATATTCTTGAAAATGCTCTGTGAATTGACTTGGAGTTAATTGTCAGACACAAGAAGAAAAAATCAGCCACTGCCTCTTTCTTGCCAACGAAAATGCAGTGGATGCAGAGAGATCTATTATCTCTCTATCTGTTTCAATATCTTGTGCTGCTTCAAGGTTGTCCACTGTGCCTTTATGATGAACAAAGATGCAGATTGTCTTGCGACACTGCGGCCTACTAGAAGACCTCACCTCTCTAGCTAGCTAGCCAAGCAAAATAATACACAATACAAAACATAGACGTTTTCTACTACAGGCTGGTCCTCGTATTGCGTTTCCGGTGCAGTGCCTGTGGAGGGCGTCGCCGAGAAGTCCGTGCAGGTCTGCCTTCCATCAGCACAAGAGCCAGCTGGAGATTATGGGGGGGTTAGGCATGAGCGCGGGGGAGGGAAAAAGAAGAAGAAGAGGGAGAGGGTTATCCGTTGAGTTCCAGATTCCATGGTCCAGTCATCGAGAGCAAAGATCCAGTCATCGAATGACATGAAATACATATAGTAAAGAGGGGAGAAGGCAGTGACCTTTACTTTCCCCATACTTTAACAGTCATCGCCCCATTGAAATCATGTCTGAAGAACAAGAAATATGTCAGCAAATACGTCATAACAGCATCATCTCTCCTTGGTCTCACATTGCTTCCATATTTTGAATCCATTCAATGGCTTTGCTCTTTTCTCTCTTTTCCCTTTCCTTCGCTCGAACCAAACCCTCCCACTCCGACTTGACGCACTTGTTGAGAGGGATTCAACGCATTGGCCGTACGACTTGTTGAGAGGGATCCAATGCTTCGGTCGTATGGTGGGGAACAAAGGAACTCCTCCTAGAAGAACACTAGCTAGCTACTAGTAGTCAATATTCATTATTTCGATACCTTTACTCTATCGTTACTCTATCAAAATGGTGTTGTCTCCTCCTTTACAGCGGCTCCTCTTCCATTCCACCACCATGAGAGGCTCTCCACCACCATGATGCCTTCTCTTCCGCGGAGCGATCGATCCACAACAACAACAACAACAACAACAACAAAAGATAATACTACTACAACTACAACTACTACTACTACTACTACTCCCTTGATTGCTGGGCTATTTTGCCTTGAAGTCAGTGCCTACTTCGGTAGGGGCAAGACTCTTGGCAACATCAGCTAGCATTATCCGACTACCGACCGACTACCACCACCAACCAACCACAACCAAACTGACCAACCACAACCAAACTGACAGCTGTGTACCGAAACAACATACAGCTAGCCATGAGGGCCGAGTCTTCCTTTCCCAACGTCACTACCAACCAACGCCGTCTCTACCACCGCTCCAATCCACCGCTCCAAATCATCAACAACAGTTTCCACGGAGCGACCATGACACCTATTCAAGAGAATTCAAATGTCCTCTTCCTCTTGTTACTGTATTCTTAATACAGAGAACGTGGTGTGCTCTCTTTGGAACACGCAGGCCCAAGTGTCTAGCCTTGCAGATTTTGCAGTGCTTTTTTGGGTCAAACACTTCTGCTACCTCTCCTTCCATTGTTGTTTGGGCCCCTTCTTCTCTTGCTCTCTTCAATCTTTTGTTGTTGTTGTTGTTGTTGTTGTTGTTGTTGTTGTTGGCCATTTGATATGCTCTCTTCTGCTGGGAATTCCTAT